CCCCAAAACCCCAAAACCCCATTAGCAGAGATTTATTTCTATTTTATATTGATTAAGTTTAAATTAAATTTATCAAATTAAAGAAAATCTCTAATTCCAAAGATGATAATCCAAATTTATCAATTAAGTGATTTCACTGCATAAACTTCAATGTCAACTACTTTAAATCTCATCTGATGATAGGTCTTTCTAGCTTTTGGATCACTTTGAGGTGTAAGCTAGCAAATGATATTATCATAAGTTTCATTGCACTTATCAAAGATAGATAAATCTTAGCCACCTCCTAACATTAGAAATGAATGACTCCAATGAGTAACGAAACTTTCATCACTCTAATAGGCTTTTATAATTTCATTTTGATTCAAGGAGAAAATAAAAGCAGAAGGATCATGATAGGGTGTTAGTTCAGTAGCTGAAACTATATTTGTAGAAAGGTAAATGCCATAGTTCTGACCATTTTCTGCTTTGATGATTGTTACAGTTGACCCCTTTAAATCACAATTTTAATGATATTTTTCTGCAGTGAAACCATCTTTCTTGCCCCAATAAAGCAATTAAAAAGACAAGTTTTTCATCTAGGCGAGTCCTTTCTCAATAGTCTAATTATACATATTTTTGAATTTATTTTGATTATCTGGATTAAACTGACTGTTTTAAGTAAAGTTTTTCTGAATCTCCTCTATTTAGAGGGACAGCTACTTGATAGATTCTTATTGCTTCTCTTATTGCAGAAAATTAGTTTCCTCTAATGAGGCAAAAGGCTGATTCAGTCCAAACTGAATTTAGTTAATTAGATATTTAAAGCTTTATGAGTCAAGTTTAGTCTTAGATTTCTGGGGGTTAAAGGCATTCATTTTATCATTTAATTGCATCAATAGTGTTCTGTTTTTTGTAGCTATATCTTGACATCTTTTGAAATAAGCTGAGATATCTGACCATTTTACTTTCTACTGATGCTAATGTCCTATATGAAAATTCCTACATTAGGAACAAACTAATTCTTTGGAATCAAAGCAATACTCAGTTACTTGATTCTCGGGATGGATACTACAATAAATAAAGGTAGATTCAGCTGATTCCATTAACTTTGGCAGATCTCTATTTACAATCTAATTTCCTATTCTTACTGCAATATTACAGATAGCACAAGTTATATTTGCAACATCTTTTACTTATTTGTTGAAGTAGCATTCTATGCAAATGATATGATTGCATGATTCAAGTTTTATCTTTTTGTTTTCATCAGCAAATTGCTTGCAAAAAGCACACTTTTCAGGAATAGGGGGAATAAATCTATCTCCTATTGGCTATTTTTCTGGTCTCTACTATTAAAACGTCTAAGTATTCGGTAATGCTTAATTCTATTAAGATTTTGATTGATCTTGCTATTGCTGAGTACCTTTTTACTACTGCTATTACTACAATTGATTATTTTGAAGTTGTTAAGCTTAATTTTACTATTAAGAAGCTGAGTTTTATTATTAATTTGATATATTCTATTATTGAGTTGTTTGATTCTATATAGGAATAGTATTTTAGGTTGAAGTTTATTGCTAAATTTAGCTCTGATTTTAATTGACTATTGGTTATTACTACTATTAATTTTAAATTTTTGGATCTTATTAGTTTTGAGTTACATTCTGTTAAGCAATGGGATTCTTATCTGAGCTCTAGCTTGGCAGATTTTATGTACCAGTTCCGATTTTGCTAGGTGACTAGTTTTAAGTCCCAATAACCTGCTACTATTACTATCCAATTTATCCTTGCTTTTACTATTAGGTTTATTAATTCAAATTTGTAGACAAGGATTAATTATTTGTAGTAGAAGAAGTTCCACCTTTTACATCAGTACTATTTTACTAATTAACTTATGTTTGGTTGAGTTTTTGTTGTTAATTTATTGTTTATTATTGTTATTGAGTATTCTGTTAAGTTGAATTTTATTACTGAATTGTCTGATTAGCTGGTTTTTGCTATTATTGAGTATTCTAAGTGGTATTAGTTGTTACTGTTGGTTTCTATTATTGCTGCACTGTGGTGCCAGTTTATAAAGGGGGTTTTTGTGATTGATTTTTATCCGCCATTTAATTGTTCAATTTTAATTGTTTATAAATACTAATTTTGAAAATAGATATCTTACATTCTAGCTGGGGTTTTGGGGTTTTGGGGTTTTGGGG